GGTAGGTTAATTCCCAGGCATCATAGGCTGGGTATATTGACAACATACCTTTAAAACATCACATGGGCACCTGAACAGAAGAGGAATTGTGGAGCTGTAGGAGCAGTGAACAAGATAGGATTCAGGGGACAGTCTGTCGAAGGAAGTGAGCAGCTCATTTCCCTGCCTCAAACAGAGTTTCCTTTAACACAGAGCTTCTCACCCTCAGCACTACTGAGTTTGGGGGCCAGATAACTCTTTGTTGGGGCTGGTTGTCCTGAGCATTTTATGTTTAGCAGCATCCCTGACCTCTTTCCACGAGAAGCTGGCGGCACCCCTTCACTTGTGAGGATCAAAATGTCTCCAGACATTGCCAAATGCCTCCCAAAGGATGGGGGGGGGGGGCATTTAATAGAAGGCTTTAATGTAACACTTCATCACAGGTAAACACTCAGTCACGGGTTGGTCATTGGAGAAAGACATCACAGAGAAATTTGGTTTGAAATTGAAAAATAAGAAAGCATGCAAGCAAGCAAGCTGGGCTTTGAAAGAAATGTAGGCATGGGCTTGGTGGGAAGGAGTGGGAGGGAATAGTTCAGGGCCAAGGGATTGATGTGAACAAAGCAGGAAACTGGGTAACATTGCAGGACTGGAAGGCGCAGAAAGAAAGTCATAGAAGAGAAAAATTAAAGAGAACTTTATGGGCAATCGAGGCTTTGAATTTGAGGTTCCAGAGATTAGACTTTATCCTGTAGACATTAGGAGCAATTATGACTGGTGGGGTAGGGGGAGAGGAATGTATAAGACATATTTTCAGGAAGAATCTGTGCCTGTAGATGGGAGAGGGGAGGGATCAGTACGTAGCATGGAGGAAAGCAACGGGCAAAGTCAGGCTTGTGGCGTTGAAAAGAATGAGAGGAAGGGAAGGGGCACTGTGAAAGAATGTTGATAAGACTTAGTGACTGATTAGATATGAGTAGCAATGAAGTGATATCCAGCTGGATTCCAGGCCTAAGGGATGAGGAGAATGAACATTATCTTTAACAGAAACGGAAAAGGTGATGTGTGAGGTCAGGTGACGCATTCAGTTAGGCATGTGGAGTTCGAGGGAATGGCAGACATCCACATGGAGAAGTCCAGAGGGCAGCTGTAGTCTAGATAGAGTTTGTGGAAATTTTTCTGAGCAGGAAGGAACCTGAAAGTTCATCTCCCTCCACCCTTCTCATTTTACAGATGAAGAAACATGTGGCACATTAAGTGATGTGCTTATTATCAAGTAGTATTTATGAGGGAGATCCTATTTCATAATCCAAAGGAATTCTAGTTTTACAAAATGAAAATGCCTGGGGGAAAAAGATGCCCTGTGAGATGAACATGACACTGCAGGCTTGAAACCGTAAAAAGGAAAGACTTTGGAGGAAAGCATGGAGGGCGAGAGCCACCCCTACACCGAGGGGCGGGAGGGAGGTGGGGAAGAAGGGAGCTGGCAAAGGAAGCCAAGAAGCAGCACTTAGGAGGCCGTGAGGAGCAAGTTGGTGGAGGTCAGTGAACAGTGCTCCATGCTCCGGAAGGAGTGAAGAGCATGTGGACTGAGAAAAAAAGGTCTCTTGTCTTGATTAGGAAGTAGTACCAAGAGTAGCCACCACAGTCACCGTAGCTTACAAGAACCAGGCCGGGCCCTGGCTGGTTTGGCTCAGTGGGTAGAGCAGCGTTGGCCTGCGGACTGAAGGGTACCAGGTTCGATTCCGGCCAAGGGCACATGCTTGGGTTGTGGGCTCGATCCCCAGTAGGGGGTGTGCAGGAGGCAGCCAATCAATGATTCTCTCTCATCATTGATGTTTCTATCTCTCTCTCCCTCACCCTTCCTCTCTGAAATCAATAAAAATAAATAAAAATAAAAAATTAAAAAAAAGAAAAAAGAACCAGGCCCGGCACTGCTCTAAGTGCTGCACATGGACCCAGTCGTGGAATCATTATAACGACTATACGAGGTGGGCCTTACTTTATCTCAATTTTACAGAAGAGGAAACTGAGGCGAAGAGGCATTAACCTATTTACCCAGGGTCACTCGGCTCCTAAATGGCGGAGCCAGAGTTTGCCAGTCGGGCGCAGTTTCGGGGAATGATGAGGCCAGGAGCAAGTTGTTCAGCCTGTTGGCAGTAAAGAGAGGAGGGGCAGGTGGTAGTTCATGGTCTAGACACGGTTACTTTCCAGACACAGAGCTGAGAGTGACTGACAGAAGTCGGGGAAGCCAGCAGAGAGGAAATGGCGATACAGGCTCCTAGCACACCTGAGATCACCAGCGCTGGTTACGTTGTGAGGTTTGAGTGAGGATAGAGAAAACACCTTTTCTTCTTAGATTGCTGCCTGGCTCCCAGCCTGTTCACCACCAAAGGCCATTTTTATTATTCCCCACCTCCCAAGGGCCCCAGGTTTTCAAAGTTTTTGAGTAGCCACTTTAAGCTTTTATTTTAATTGAAGTATAATTGATATGTAGTGCAACATCCAGGTCTTAACTGTACTGTTTAATGAGTCTTGACTACATCGTTAATGTATTAATTCATTTTCCATTCTTATTACTTGAAGATATATAAAATTGCCAGTTAGAATCTAGGATTATCACATCACATTAATACAATCTAGCCAAAAGCAAGCATACCTGACATTTTAGTTAACCTGTTTAGCCTGTTTGAATTTCCAAAATACAGAAAAGCAGCTCTTAGATCCTTACCATTACCATCTAAAAGCCTGTTGATTCAAAGACCCCACGTGGGTAAGGAGGCTCAGTGAGTTACTGGGAGAGATGGCAGGAAGAACAGGACCCCTGTGGGCCTTAGAACCACTGCCCTGGCTGTCAGGATTGCTTCTCAGGAGTTGGGCACGAAGAGGTTTGATTTTTTTGGTTCTTCAGGATAAAAAAACATACAAACAGTGGTTCATAATAATTTAAAAACTAAGTGAATGTGACTGGATACTTAGTGATATTAAAGAATTCTTGTCATTTTTTTAGTTTTGATAGTGATATGGCAATATTGTTTGAAAAAAATAGTTTTTTCCTTTTAGAAATATGTGCTGAAATTTTTACAGAGATAGGATATCTGGAATCTGCTTTAAAATAAGTCTATGTGATAGTGGGGGTAAAATTTCAACCAGACTGGCTTGAATTGATAATAGTTGAAGTTGGTACCTGGGGGTTCATTATTCTATTCTGTTCACATTTACATATGTTTAAAAGTTCCCATAATAAAAAATGTAAAAGGGAAGAAATTATAAAATTATGAATATTAGTCAGGGTTTAGTATAACAGGCATCTTCCTATGTGTGTTAAACAAAAGGGATTTAACACAGGGAATTAAGTGTCTGTAAAATTGTTAGAAGAAATGACACAGCAGGTCTAGGCCAGGCCTCTCGGAATAATGACCAGAATACCACCATTCAACTGACCTGCTAAGGAACCTGCTACCTGTGCCTCCATCAGGAAGCTGGGAAACCAGGAAACCAGGAAACCAGGAAGCTGGTTCCTCCTTGTCTCCACTGCATGTTCCAGAAACATCACTTGAGCCAATCTGATTATCAGGAACCCATAGACACAATTGTTGGTGCCAGTGCCGTCTGCTTCACCTGATAGAATTGGACCAGCCAAACGGATGCCTTGCCCCCAGCACCTTGCCCTCTGATTGGTGGAATCTAAATCAAATCTAGAACCCAAGCTGCAAAGGGACATGGGAAATATAGTTTTCAATTCTCCATCCTCTGTAGAACTGGACTACAACGAAGTGGGAGCAAATATTTGAGAGGACCAATCCACTACAAAGTATATTAGCAATTGAAACTGTATTTCAGCTTATTTATCCCCAAAAGTAATTTTGAATAATGTTTAAGTTACACTACATTCTTTGGTTTGGTTTTCCCTGTAGAATCTTTAAATCAGCTCCCGGAAACCTCCTATTCCTCAAGAAACATGTACAGTATCTTGCTCTCCTTACTCCAACTGGGCTCATCTGAACGGGCTCACAATGCTGTTCTGCACACATTTGGTCCCTGTGTCTTTGCCTATTCTGTTCCCAGTACTGTACAAGAAATGCCTTTCCTATCCCCCAGTCTAAATCCTACCTATTTTTAGACATTGTGCAGGTCCTAATACTGTAAAACCTTACCTGATTCCTCAAGGCCCCATTTACTTTCCTTCCTTCCCTGCCTCCCTCCTTCCTCCCACTCCTCCTTCCTTTGTTCCTTCCTGTATGTACATATGTCTGTCTGTCTCTGAAATCCTTCTGGACTTATTCTTTGTTCTGCCATATAGTTTGGTTCTATCATGCAAATGTTTTATGGTATATTATCACTTTATGTGGGATGGTGTTGCTTGTTTAAATAGGCTGTAAGCCTTGTAAAGCCAGACAAGTTTGCATAGCCTCTCCTTTGCTATCTAACACCATGAAGAGCAGAGAATAAGTTTATGTACTTTACATTGATCGTATTAATAACATGTGCCAATAAGCATACCAACATGTAGTGAAGGATCAGAAATGTCTGTGCTGAGTAAATTGTAATTTGTTATCTAATATAAATGTCGCGAGAGTAATTATGGTTGTGTTAACATCAAGATCTTCACATGATGACCCCATTCAGCTTTTTAATTAGTTTTATAGTCTGATAATTGCTTTGATCTTTCAGTGACACTATAATTTTTTTGTTTCTTAAACTCCACCTGTACCCCATGCCTCCGTGCTATTGATTATCTTCTCCTTCACCGAGAAGTCTCAGCTCTGCCTGTCAATCTTCTGTCCACCAAGCTGTGTAACTGTCCAGTAGTAACATGTTGGCCACCAATTTATGGTATAGTCAAGCGGCTAATCAATCATTAGAAGTAATTGTGTAGACCTGTGTTTACTGACATAACTCAGTGTAGGAGACCATATCTTGTTAAGTGAAAAATATGTTTTTAAACTCTATGGTATGATTTCCATTTTTAGAAATGTATACATATTTTTTCATTTGTATTCATTCTTTTCATTTGACAGGTATTTATTGAGTGCCTACTGTGTACCAGGCGCTATCTCTATGTGCATACAAAAACCCTGGAAGCTCATACTCCAATATATATACACTGATCGTCTTTGCTTGCTGAGATAACAGGTGACTTTTTTCTTTTTACTTGTTTCCTTCTTCATTTGCAAACTTGTTTTTTACAATTTTTATGCAAAAACCTGTATTATTTATTAATAAGGAACTGGTATGTTTTTTAAAAGCACTTCTTCAAAATGCTTACAATATAAAGCTACATAAAAATAGGTTTAAAAAAAGTTTAAAATCCTAATTATAAATAAAATAGAGAGGGGAGGAGGGAACCTAGAGCGGGAGAAAGAGAAGAAAGAAAAGAGGGAAGACATGAAAATCCAGCAGTGGCTATTTTGGGATGGTGGGATTCTTTTACAATGTCTGTTCTAAAGACTCTACAGTGAACCTGTATTAGTTTTAGGATCAGAGAAAATATTTTTTTCTTTTTCAAGACCCAGTGCAAATGTGACATTTCTGTGATGCTGCTTCAGACCCCTGAATCTGACTTTTCCCAAACTTTCACATCCCTTCCTCACCTGGCGCTCAATAAATATGAACAGTGAGTGGGTTGTGTTTTCTGCATGCGGCCTCAACCTTAGTGACAGATGTCACTAACTTTGTTAACTTTTCCCATTTTTCAGTCTTCATTTTCAAGAATAATTAGATTTCAGATACGTTATTTCACAACAATAAATATTCTTAAAAAAAAAAAGATTAGGGCACACACTATACATGGACAGAGGAAAGACCATGTGAGGACATAGTAAGGAGGCAGCTATCTGTGAGCCAAAGAGAGGGGCCTCAGAAGGAGGTGTGGACTTGATCTTGGACTGCTAGCTTCCAGACTACGAGGAAAAAAAAAATTCTCTTTAAGCCAAAGCAGGGGAAAAGTATTCTATATGATTAACTTAATATTGGTATTTGCCCAATACTGACATATTTTTAGTGGCCAGGATTTTCTGTATTCTTCTTATTCTTTCCTCTTTTTGTCCATTTTTAAATGACTGCTTTTATGTGTGTATACACACACACACACATACACACACACACTAGAGGGCCAGTGCATGAAATTTGTGCACTGGGGGGGCATGTCCCTGAACCGAGCCTGCACCCTCTCGCATTCCAGGAGCCCTTGGGGGATGTCCAACTGACGGCTTAGGTAGGGAGTGGGCCTAAGCCGGCAGTCGGACATCCTTAGTGCTACTGTGGAGGCGGTAGAGGCTCCTGCCACTGCCACTGCACTCGCCAGCCTTGAGCTCAGCTTCTGGCTGAGCAGTGCTTCCCCTGTGGGAGCGCACTGACCACCAGGGGGCAGCTCCTGCATTGAGTGTCTGCCCCCTGGTGGTCAGTGCGCGTCATAGTGATCAGTCGATTTGCATATTAGCCTTTTATTATATAGGATATATATGTATATATGTGTGTGTGTTATTTGTATAAACACACACACACGCACACACACATATATTGATATGAAAGTTTAAGTTCAAACAGTAGACTCCTGATTTATGGTTAGTCAACCTTTCCTCTCCTTAGAAAGCTTTTGTCTGGTGCCCTGCTTCCTATCAGTTTATGGAGAGCCAAGGGCTCCTTAATCCAGACTGGAAACTCCATCCACTGAATCAACTTCCTACCAGCCCTGTAGCATCACTTCAGTAGCCTCTGAAGGAGCCATACAGGAGACGGCCAGTGCATTTGTGCAGCTTTCATCAAGGGGGACCAAAGGGTAAGGTGGTGTTCAGTTGTCTTAATGCAGTTCATCTTTTGCAAAGTAAAGATGGGGGTAAACCTGGCTACTGTGTGAAGGCACTAAAAGCAATTAGAAGTGGCCCCTCTCTCGTACTACCACCCTGGCTGGAAGAGGCAGCCCCGAGCTGCCACGTGGGGCTTAGACCAGGAGTTCACAGAACTCACATCTCCCTGCCCCGGCTTCCTGCTCTCCGGGAGAGACCCTGCCTGCAGGAAGGTGAAGCTCCTGGAACTTGAGGTATTAGAAAGTATATATGTTGTGGAAGTTGTAAAGGATCCTGGGACCGGGGAGGTTTCATTCTAGACGGGAGACTGTGTGAATAAAAAGGAGTAATGTGTGGCCTGGCTGTGTGAGAAGGAGGAGAAGAAGAAAATCCTGGATAGATATCATTCTAGGGGACTTTCTATGGGTCCTGAACATATTATCAATTAGCCAGATGCTTCTTGAGATATGCAGGATGTTAGATGGGCACATTGGTGTTTTGACACTGAACTGCAATCATCTTATGGAATTCGGGATCAGAAAAAATATAAAAAGGTCATCCAATTACCATTGGAGGTAAAAAAAAATTTCATTGACATTCTGCTTCATTCCATGGTCCCCATCACCTCACTGAGATTCTCCCGGTGAGGCTCCTGCACGTACGGAAGCCTTACTTTTGGAAGCCTTGCCACCAATTTATTTATTTATTTATTTATTTATTTATTTATTTATTTAATTCTCACCAGAGGATATTTTTTCAATTGATTTTCAGAGTGGAAGGGAGGGAAAGCGGGGGGCAGAAAGAGAGAAACATTAATGTGAGAGAGACACATCGATCGGTTGCCTCCCACACCCACCGCCCCCAGCAACCAAGATACTTGCCCTTGACTGGGAACTGAACTGGCGACCTTTTGATGTATGGGCCTACGCTCTAACCACTGAGCCAAACCAAGCAGGGCACCACCTGCTTTTTGATTTGTGATGCTATGTGTCTGAAACTTGGTCCCCTCCCTTGTATACTATCGGTGACCCCTCAGAAATTTAAACCCCAGTCATCCACATGGGGGAAAATGTGAGCTCTGCAAATCTTTTGTTTCTGATGAGGAAATGTAGTTTCAGATGGATTAACCTAAATCCCCTGGGTATGAATTTTTAAATCTCTAATTCCCTGACATGGAGTGATTTCATTGCAGAGATTGAATTAATCTCTTGCAGTTGATGGATAAACTGCTAAATTTCAAAACACAGATTTGTCCTTTGCTATTTGACCTCTGGGTTGGGTGGTTGATCCCTCCTGATGCCATTTATTGCATTTTTATTCAACTGGAATGCTAAGTCAGAGCAGCATTTGTGGCTCTGTGTTCTGTAAACAGCTATATGTGTGTCCTCCGAGCTGACACGTTCAAGTAACCAACTCGCTTTCATTTTAAACACACTGTTTTATAAAACGGTATCTATATTGCCTGCAGCTGACATGGTGTTCCTATAAATGTGAGCATAAAGATTGTGGGACATAACTCATTTTATAGTTAAAAATGGAGGGAGATTTATGAAAGGCATAAAATATAGAGCCTTTATAACTTGATATACAAAGATCGCTTTGAGTAGCAAAATGTAAAAGTTGCATTATCAATACATTAACTGTTTGTTTACTTAAACTGTCTTAATCAGTTGGTTATATTCATATGTTTAACTATATTTCACTGTGTTATATTTTAGGGGCGTCAAGCTTATATTTTTGCTGCTATCCACTTGTAAATACACTCAGAGCAGGAGAATTTGGACGAAGTTTTTGACTACAGGTACTTTATAAACATGATGCATTTCAAAAGTGGACTCGAATTAACCGAGTTGCAAAACATGACAGTGCCCGAAGATGACAACATCAGCAATGATTCCAATGACTTCACTGAAGTAGAAAATGGTCAAATAAATAGGTGAGTATTTTCCTAACACTTTCTATCCAGTAAAAGAGATGTCTCTAAAATATTCTGATTTTCAGTTATTCTCTTGAATTATTCATTACTAAAGTTATGCTCCATTTGAAGATGTAATTTGAATTTCTTATTTGACATCTGTTGGGCATAGTCTGCAGTAGCAGATGAAGCAAATAGGAAAGCAATTTATTCATCCTTTCCAATCTTTCAATTGAGTCTAATAAAAGTGTATAATACATTGGCCCCCAACCAGCCCTAACTTTTCAGAAGCTCTGTGCTTATGAATTAGACAGACTATTGGCCTTTCACTGCAACCCACATCTGACTGTGTCCTATAGTCATCTGACCTCGCCCACATTTTTAACCAAGAAATGGTCAAAGTCCCATTTGCCACTGTTCCCGTGTTAAAACTACAAATGCACTATGACAAGCATCATTTGCAACATGGGTTTTAAATAATAATAACTATAGTTGAGCCCAGATGGCTCTATGAGAAACTGTAGTAGAGAAATAATACATGTAGCAGAAGGAAAAGAAAAGATGCCATGAGTGAGGGGAGATAGAGATGCAGGTGGGAAGCGTGCTGGCCCAGAAGCTTTTGTCCAACTCAGCATGTCTGTCCAACTCCTGGGTTCTGAGTTTCTTAATTTCCAAGAGTAGGGCCAAATGTCTTTATGTTTTTAATGATGTGGGCATTCTCTGACCTCCTGAGTTTTAGTCCGGCCGAGTGGATCCCGTAGCAGGAAGGTCTCCAGCTTGGGAGCTAGTGGTGTGGCTTGTTTGAAGCATGATGCCTCTTAAAAGGCTAGGAGAAGTGAGGGGAGTATACGGGACTCCTTATTAGAACAGTAACGATGCTACACTTTTTTTCTTGGGATGGAGGAGCTGTCCGAAGGAAATTGGGGTAGAGAGAGATGACAGCATACATCACCTAGCCAGGCATCATATTGGGGATAATGTCCGATAGTTTGCTCTACATTCGGATGTAGTGTGTACATAAGTAAGTGGAAGTCCAGCATAGGTAGCTGCCATCATTCACACATACGTGCTCAGAAGTTTCAGCCCTGCCTCTTCTTCTTCTCTTCCTTAAATGCTCTTAGTGGTTAGGTCTCCAGCCAGACACTTCCTCATTAGAATCCCAAGTATCATTTACTGTATTGTGATATTTCTGATTGTTGGACTCAAGTTTACTTCTTTTACCTTTTCTAAGTCAAATTATTAATAATAATGAACATTTCTTTTTCTTTTCTTTTAAATATATTTTTATTGATTTCAGAGAGGAAGGGAGAGGGAGAGAGAGAGAGAACATCAATGATGAGAGAGAATCATTGATTGGCTGCCTCCTGCACGCCCCCTACTGGGGATTGAGCCCACAACCCGGGCATGTGCCCTTGACCGGAATCCAACCTGGGACCCTTTGGTCCTCAGGCTGATGCTCTAGCCACTGAGCCAAACCAGCCAGGGCCTAATGAACCTTTCTTGACTGCCAGCTGTGTTTACATGTATTGCCATTTATCCTTATAAAAGCATCATGCAAAGCATTATTTTGCAAATAAGGACATTTTTAAATTTTTGTGTGTACAAGTAAGGAAACTGAGGCCCAGAGAAATAAAATAAGTTGCTTAAGGGCATACACAGGTTCATCTGAAATCCTAGTCTTTTTACTCTCTCTGCCTGCCTCTGCTTATAATGCTCAGGCATTAGCTAGTTCAGTTAAACTCTGCCAGTGCTAATTTATGCTCTGTACTCCTGGACTGTTCTGCAGTCACTGCTGACCTCCACTTAATGGTGCATGGGATCCCAACCATTTCACAAGTAGGACACTTTGGTTTTATAACACAGCTTCAATCCCAAAGCAAGGCAAACCTTGAAGACCTTAAAATGGGAATCATTCTAATACTCAGTTTAGAGTCTGGACTTGATCTTAAAGAGTTTTATTTACTAACAATATTTAGTTTTTGAATGATGACCATTCTCACCCCTGACTTGGGCACCTTGCCCAGTGAACTCACGTCTTCTGAGACTGTGACGAAGGCAGTGAGCTGGTACAGCAGGTTTGCTGTTGGTGTTGACCACTTGTTTTGCAGAATTTGGTTCCTTTACTGCACATGCAGTGTGATACTTTTATTTCTTCATTTATCTTATCTCCCCTCTTTCACTGACACAGTTCATGAGCCTTTCTTTAGTTTGGCTTTAGGACAAATAAAATTAAAAACAACATATGCCAAGAAGCCAAAAAGATAAAAATCAGGATCTCCACCATGATTGCTGCAAAAGCTATACCTCTCATTTTTTTTTAATATATGTTTATTGATTTCAGAGAGGAGGAGAGAGTGCGAGGGAGAGGAAGACAGAAACATCAATGATGAGGGAGCATCATTGATTGCCTCCTGCACGCCCCACACTGGGGATTGAGCCCGAAACCCGGGCATGTGTCCTGTCCGGGAATCGAACCATGACCTTCTAGTTCATAGGTTGATGCTCAATTTCTGAGCACACCAGCTGGGCAATACCTTTCATTCTTCTTATAGCTTTTTCATATTGATGGGAGGAAGGTAGGCTCAATTATATGCATCTAAGGGAACGAGCCCCTGAAACAGGGGAATTTTTATGTAACAGTCCTCTTTTTTAGGCAACTAGAGAAAATATTGAAAACAAATGTTGATCTTTGATCACCTGGCATCTAGTTTACAGCTTTGCCTGGGAACTCCCCTATTCTTAGAATAATGTTTTAAAGTTTAGGCAAAAATAGAGTAGAGTCATTTGGGCATTAGAACAACTGCCCCTATTCCAGTTCAGTTGTTTTATTTCATAATTTTTGGGTCATAGTCCTAGAAATCTATACCTAGAACAGCAAAACCTTTCAAAATGCCCACTAGACCAGTTCTGCTAACATTTTTTGTTTGTTTGTGGTGTGGTTGAGGTGGTGGTGGTGGAGTAGTGGGAGTTCTGCTAACATGTTAATGTGCATAGGAAACATCTGGAAACCTTTCTAAAATGCAGATTCTGATTCAGTAGATCAGGGATGGGGCCTGAGGTTCTAATTTCTAGCAAGCTTCCAGGTCATACCCTTACTGCTGGTCCCTGGACCACACTTTGAGTAGCAAGCTCTAGACTCTTCCCCTAGAAGTGAGCTTTCTGCGAGGAGGAATCATCTCAATCACCCCTATATCTCTTGCACCTTGAAATGATAGATAAAAGTGCTTGATATAGAGTGGAAATTACAAAATACTTGTTAAATGAGAGAGAAAAACAGAGACAGATACAGAAGAGAGAGCCAGTAGTTAAGTGGTTTGAATTTGGACTTGTATTGAATCCTGGCTCTATCGATAGGTCTTGTCCTTTGAGCTTCAGGTCCATCCCTGTAAGAACCGGGATAGTAAAAATACCTTACTTCCTGGGAGTGTCAGGGAATAGTAAATGTATTCCTGCTTGTAGGTTAAGAACTCAGGCTCTGCCATCAGCCAGTTTAGGTTCAAATCCTGGCTCAATGGTTTTGTTATTAGTAATGTTACTTTGGTCAAGTTACTTAATTTCTCTAAAATGGAGCTAATAATAGTACTGACCAATACAATTATTGTGAAAATAGATGAGAAGACCCAGGTAAGGTACTTGGCAAGTGTCTGGCAACAGTAAGCCTTTCAGTGTGAGATGTGTCTTTATCAATAAAAGTGCATCCTCTTTCTTTGGCAAGTACTTCTTTCTTGTCTACATCAAGGAATAATAATACTCTTTTAGGTTCTGGATGATTGCTGACTGTTGCTTCTTTAAAGCTGTTAGAATATTAGTAGATTATCCTAACTGTACCTAAGCAAATATTCACATATTTTCATATTTATTTACTGTTCTCATCTCTCTGCGTGGTTATTGTTGTTGTGACCCAGGCAGCATCTAACAAAGTTTGAGAATCCTTGTTAAAATTGTTCTTAAAAGGATTTGGGACAATTCATATCACTACCCCCTACATCAGCCTTTTTTTTTTGTCCCTGTATATCCTTCAGAGTTCATGCACTAAATTTATATCACTTGGGAGAATCCTTGAAAAGTTAAAGAATATTCCATCTCTTCTTCTGATGATCAGTTCTTATGTCAGAAAATTCTTTCCTTGCTTTAAGAGCTCCTGTTACAACCTGGATTTTCTCCTATTTTCAGTAGAGTTTATTCAACCAAAAAGGCTTTGCTTACCTCTCAGTCGTCTCTTTAAATGCCTGCTGTTTCTTTAAATCTTACATGTTCTCCAGCCTCTTTGTTACTTCTTTCCTCCTGTTCTCTTTTCCTTTTTTATAGAATGTTAGAATTTCAGGGAGAGAACTGGGAAAGGTCATCCAAGTACAACCATTGATCTCTTCTGTGTTATGAAACCTCAAATAGAACACTATAATCCAGTAAGAATCTGATTGGTAGAGATTAAACTAGGAAGAATATCTTCCTATTGCGTAGCCCATCCTGTTCGATTGTTGTTGATGTTGATTTATTTTTGGGTTTAAATAACTGCTCTATATTGCTCAGCCTCCCTTCACACCTACTCCTTTTGAAGGCTTTGTCTCCTGAAGGTCACCATGACAGCCACTGTAAGTTTTTGTTTGGTTTTGTGCTCAGAACAATTGGCTACCTAATAGTTTGATTGAATTCTTCTTTATGGGTACAGACCAACCCAGTGAAAACTCTCTTTTTATAATACTTTTATCATCCTGAGACCACATGTCAAAGGCACCTTCTCCCATAGCCCATTTTTAAGTAAATAAAGAGAAGTTTAACTCAGTTTCTTTGCCAGAAGTCCGTGGTTTTTATCATACAATTGCATGTTTTTAAATGGTAAGATAGCAGAAACTTGTGATAAACCGCTTGATCTACTTATTTTGAATGGACTTTTCCATTACTGAAAAGGTTGGTTTTATTTTGTTTAAAAAAAGTTTTCAGAAATACAAAGCAGAGATTCAAAGACTGAAGAGAAGAAAAAGTGGAGATATAAAGAGAATAAAGAGGATTTCTTTATTCATTCTTACTATTTCATTCTTACTGAGCCTGACTTCCTGCAGCCTAAGCTACTCCCTAATTCCTAAATAGAAGATGCATATTCGGTTTACGAAAGGTTCCTCTGAGTTGTTAATGCATGGGCAGGTACATTTAAGAAGGAGCTGAAGGGCTGAGAGCACACTGTACAGCAGCTCTGGATGTGAGATGAGTTCAGTAGCACAGTATGTGCCACAGAAAAAGTAGTAAGTAGGTCAGAGTCAGGAAATTCAGCTCAAACCAGAGTATCAGAAGGCTCATGGGTGAAGCTTCGAACTTGCAGGAAGGTGCTGGCTGAGAAGAGGACACAGGGTCTCTCCCCAGTGGAGGTGGATTCCCACTGCTGCCGTGTTTTTCCGTCTCTAGGAATGCTACGATCCTGTCTCAGTCCTCACCCCCTCTTGGGAAGACCATTTTGAGTAGTGGGAGCTGAGATTGGGACATTGAGGCAAAGTCAAATTCAGCAGCATCAGGAATTGCAGGATGAGGGATTTACACTTGAAAGTGTCTCAGTGGATAGAGCATCAGCCCTAACCGGTTTGGCTCAGTGGATAGAGCATCAGCCTGCAGGCTGAAAGGTCCCAGGTTCGATTCCGGTCAAGGGCATGTACCTTGGTTGCAGGCACATCCCCAGTAGGAGGTGTGCAGAAGGCAGCTGATCGATGTTTCTCTCTCATCAATGTTTTTAACTCTCTATCCCTCTCCCTTCCTCTCTGTAAAAAATCAATAAAAATATATTTAAAAAAAAAAAGAAAGTGTCTCTGTGGGGGAGCCAGTGAAGATTTCTGGGAAAACCTATTAGGTCTTGCTGCAGAAAGTGCACCAGAAGAGGCAGAATCAGGGAGGCTCTTGAGATACAATATATTTTAATGTGCTTTTTGATAGTTACTCATTTCATTTCAACAGCCCTGTGAGTCAGTTTCATCATCCCCTTCCTGCAGAAGTTCTGCAGGGAAGAGCCAGCAATCATGTAGGGGCCTTATTCTTCCTCCCCCTTCTTTTCTTTATCTTTTTTTTCTTCCCTTTCTATTTTATTCCAACTCCATGCACTATGCTACTTTATAAAGGCCCATGTCTTAACACGCCACCATTACTCAGTTTGATTCTTTCCTCTTCCTCCCCTTTCACAGTGTTTGACCCTACTGAATGCCTTTAGTGTTACAATGATGACACCTCTTTCTTCCCGGCCCACCAGTCTTCTGCCACCAATTCTGGGGCATGGGGCCAGGCCAGGGGGCTTAAATCTGCTACGGCGGTTTGCTATGTTTTGTTCCGTTTGCTTAAAAATGTTTAGGCTCTTCCATTAATTTAAAATAATGGAAATTCTCTTCGGAAAAGAAGTCCCTCCACAGAAAGGCAAATGGGGGAGCTTCTGGATAAATATTAGATTGACTTGAGTTGATTATTAAAATTAGCCTGATTAAATACGGTCTCTTACTTAATGGCTTTTTAAAAAAATATATAAATCCTCACCCAAGTATATTTTTTCCATTGATTTCAAGAGAGAGTGGAAGGGAGGGAGGAGAGGGAGAGAGTGAGAAATATCGATTAGTTGCCTCCTGTATGCGCCCCCACCAGGTCTGAGGCACATGCCCTTGACTGGGAATCGAACCCACAACCCTTTGGCCCGAGGGCTGACATTCTAATGACTGAGCAAAACCGGCCAGCGCCCAAGTGTATTTTTATTTTGGAAATCTATTTCATTTTGGTAAGTGTAGCACCTGCATTTCCTTGGGCTGCCTGTGTGAAAAGGAAGGCTGCTTTTCCTTGCCTCTCTCTAGCCAGGCCTGTGGCCCTCAATTCCGTGGGAAACTCAAAAATGTTAAGGGTTCCGAAACCGGGTTGGATCAGTGGATGGAGCGTCGCCTGCGGACTGAGGGGTCCCGGGTTCGATTCCCGCAAGGGCATGTACCTGGGTTGCGGGCACATCCCCAGTGGGGGAAGTGCAGGAGGCAGCTGATCGATGTTTCTCTCTCATCGATGTTTCTAGCTCTATCTCTCTCTCCCTTCCTCTCTGTAAAAAAAAAACCCAATAAAATATATTAAAAAAAATAAATGTTAAGGTCAAGAAAAGGGCCAAACACTCTATAACTGCCAGATTGATCTCCAAAATATTGTCCTCCTCCTGTGATCCTACTTATCAGGCCTCTGGCCTTAAGTGTCTTCTGGCTAATCCCTTCCAATAATGGTTTCCCTTCTCTGGATGCCTTATCTCATCTCAGTTTTGCGCAGCCTGGCATTCCCATTCTGGTGTGAGCCAGTGTGGTCTCTCCTGTTCAGAGACCAAGGTTTTCTTCATCTTCCTTTTGGTCTCTCGCAGTAACTGGCCAGGTCCTAGGCAAAGGCAGATGCTGAAGGGAGTAAACCACAGATCGTGCTGCTTCTACCAGGTGAAGATCTCAGGAAGTTGGTATACCGCCTGTTTTTGGCTTATTTTGGCAAAATAATGCAAACTTGGCGAGGTGATGCCAGGGAGAAGCCAGACCCCCGTGGATTAAAGATGAAAAAGATAGTTAAATAAAGCCAATATTGATGATGGTTTCATTGAAAATGGTTTCTTATGAAACAGTATTATTCAAAAAAGCATGTGAAAATATAATGTACAGTTTAAGGATGAATGCTTCTTTAAAATAGTTCAGCTCTTTTTTTAAAATATATTTTATTGATTTTTTTTTACAAAGGGGAAGGTAGAGGGATAGAGTTAGAAACATTGATGAGAGAGAAACATTGATCAGCTGCCTCCCACTGGGGATGTGCCCGCAACCAAGGTACATGCCCTTGACCGGAATCGAACCTGGGACCTTTCAGTCTGCAGGCTCATGCTCTATCCACTGAGCCAAACCGGTTAGGGCATAAAATAGTTCAACTGAAGTGGCTTTACATTCATTAGTGAAATACTTATTGTGATTAGTACGTACTAAGACCAAATAATTAACTTTCTGGAAGAGGAAACAGCATACCTAACATGTTTTACTAATACAAGCAGCCAACAAATGGACTTTGACAATACCACTTATTTTTTTAATGGTGATTTTAAAAAAATATTTTTATTGATTTCAAAGAGGAAGGGAGAGGGAGAGAGAGAGAGAAACATCAGTGATGAAAGAGGATCATTGATCGGCTGCCTCCTGCACACCCCACACTGGGGATTGAGCCCACAACCCAGGCATGTGCCCTTGACTGGGAATTGAAGCTGGGACCTTTCAGTCCGAAGGCCAACGCTCTATCCACTGAGCCAAGCCTGCTAGGGCTTAATGGTGAGTTTTTTAAAAATTAAAGATTTAGGCCATAAAGTTCTGATGTTAATGCTGAATATGGTTCTGAGAGCATTCTGAATTCCTTCTTCTATGGATTTGCAGACAGTTTACTCCACTTAGCCTGCCGGAGTCTTTCCCATCCCAGCTCAAGTCCCACGCCCCCCTGTTGCTCCTACTCTGTGCCTGGAGCTATAGTGATGATTTCATTCTCCCAAGAGCGCCATGAGATAATGTAATAGTGTTACTCTCATTTCACAGAGGAAACTGAGGTAGCCTAAGGCCTTGTAGCTAGTGAGGATTCAAACTACCTTCTAAATCCCTCCCTTTCTTAAAGCCCTAGTTCTGCCCCTAACCATGGACTAATGCCCTGCCCCCACCACCATAGTTTCCTCTGCTGAACTCCTGTAGCTCAGTGTCTGCATCTCGTATTACATACCCTCGTGTCTCTCTCATCACCTTGTCTGATGACTTGCATATGGCAGGTGCTGAAGCAATATTTGATAGATAAAGAGTTTCCTTTTTTTCAGGGGAGAGGGAATTCCTATTTAATAACTTTGTACTCCAGGAATGGGAGCTCAGAAGGAATCCTGCCTCTGCTATTCTTTTACATGACAGCGTTAGAGTATTTTTGACATTATCTGATTTGTAGGTAGAGAAAAATCTACGTAAAAGTTAACTTACATTGCATACAGTGTTTTAATGTACTCGTATTCAAATGATTTGAATTAGATTGATAACTTTTCATGTGTAATATGTTTTGGTAAGTAATCAGTCACTTAGGTATAACGCTAAGGTTCAAATCACTACCATGAGGTTAAATGTATTATATGTCTTTACAGCAAGTTTATTTCTGATCGCGAAAGTAGAAGAAGTCTCACAAACAGCCACTTGGAAAAAAAGAAATGTGACGAATATGTAAGTGTCATTATAATAAGTATACTTATTTTTTAATCACATAGTTTGGGACAGATCTTTTTTTTTTAAATGAATTCGCGTGTCACCTCTGACACACGTGTCATAGGTTCGCCATCACTGTACTGTCATATATAACAGTGGACAGATCTTTTTAATTCATGCAGCATAGTACCAAAGGCATAGCTATCCGTATTCACCAGGATGTTCCTCAGATTCTATGTATTCTCTGGAAACCCATTAAAAATCAACTAAACCACTAAGGAAGGTTTTCTTTTTTCTTTTTTTTTTTGAAAGATTGTAATATATTCTCTGTAAAACGTTCAGCAGTACGAAAGCCCTCCCTGGGCCCTCCCGCCCTCTCACGGGTCCACAACTGGTGTAACGGTCCAGAAATCCTTGAGCTCTGGAAAGGTCCCTGGTCCGTCCTTGGGGAACTTCCACAGGTGGCTATTTTGGAAGAACCTGCTCAAGTATGGTTCTTGACGTCGGGGGAATCCTTTCAGGGAAGATCACTTCAAACTCAGTAACGAGGTCCCCGCGTTTCTCGGGTGTTTTGGGGAGAGGGAGGCCTTCTCCAGGAACTTTTCGCCGCATGCCAGGCCTGATGACATCTTTGAACACGATGGGTATGGTCCTGCCGTCCAGAGTGGGGACATTCACAGAACAGCCACACAGCCTCCCGAAGGGTGACCCTGGCTGGGTCAATGGCATCAGAGCCATCTCTCTTAAAGATATTGTGTGGCTTGTCCTTTAAAACCAAGACAATGTCAGCTGGAATGTTGTTAGAGGCCTGGTCTCCCTCCTTGGGGAAGGTGATTTTTTTGGTCCCTTCTTTCCACCCCCGTTTCACTTCAATGGTCAAGATTTTGTCTTCGTAGCGAATGCTCTTGCCATCGGGGTCCAGCCTTTTAGGGGAGATCTTCATCTTCTTGGCTGAGGGTCCCCATGGAATGTGTAGCTAAAGGAGGTGCTGTTAGCACCACCGCCGCTTCCACCCCTGGGGCCACCGCCCTGGGACCCCCTCTCCGCAGCGGTCGAAGCTCTCGAGCTTGCGCGAGTCGCTGAGCAGGTCAGAGGCCTCGGCGACCTCCTTGAACCTCGTCCGTCCGGGCTCCTGGCTCTTGTCCGGGTGGCAGTGCAGCGCCTGGCAGCGGCCGGCGCACTAACCTCCTGTCCCACCCGCCGCGGGCCGGGCCCAGCGTCTGGTAATAGTCTTTTCCCATGGCCCCCACCTGCGACCTGCCGCCCTGCTGTCGGTATCCCCCCAAGAAGGTTTTCTTGAATTTAATTTGTGTTGGTTTCTAATAGTGCTTTAAAGGCTTTGGTGTGATGAACAGGCTTGGGGACTGTCCTGCTTAGTGTGAATGTTTGTCTCTTTGTTCAGATTCCAGGAACCACCTCGTTAGGCATGTCTGTGTTTAACCTGAGCAACGCCATTATGGGCAGTGGGATTTTGGGACTCGCCTTCGCCCTGGCAAACACCGGAATCCTACTTTTTCTGTGAGTGTTGACATTGCGGCATTTTTCAGTTTTAAACTGTGTTTTCTGTATGTGTCTGTTCAAGCACAGAATAAATAGGAAATATTTTAAAGTCATTTTTATTTCTTTTTATTTATTTTTTTTACTAACTTTGCTAAGTTACTGGTACATGCTTTTGTATTTTTATTTGAATGATTTTCCAGGCTGCACCCAATGTTTATAAGAAAATGAAAGGAGGAAAATCTTATTAATTACAAATACCAAAATAGGCATTTATAAAAAGGATTAAAAGCATTTTTGTATTTTTGAACTTTTTACCTGTCACTTTAAATCTGTTAAATGGTCAAAATATTAAGAGGTGTTTAATCCAACTGGTCACCACTGTAGTATTTGGATTGCTTTGGAACATTTACTGTATCCAAAAGTAATTAGACATTGTTTGAATAAATATTCAAGAAGCATAGAAGTTGATAGTGTTTTAAAGAAGAGAAGTTAGCATGTACTTTTCTGCAGTTCAGTGAAAAGTAAATGGGCAATTTTCTTTTAAAATAAGTTCATCTCAAGCTGATAAGTGGGACTTTGTGCCAATGTACCGAGGGCTTATTTTCAGTTGGAAGATGAAGACATACCATAGAATTTCTACCAGGAAAATTCTCACCCTCTCAAACCTCAAAGGAGTCTCTAGTGGTGCTTTGCCTGATAAGACAGGGAAGAAATTTTCTTCTCCCGGGATCTTGCCTTTCCTCCCCTGACGACTCACGCTCTTCATTGGCCTTGCTCTTCATTGCCAGATCATTCTGATGAGAGCATCATTACTTTGGTAGCAATGACCAAAAAGACTACTATTCCTGAAAATGGTGGGTATTCCTTTAGAAAGATTTAGAAAACTGTGATGGATATGCACTGCTTCCCATCCTTTTACTCATGGATCAGTAATGCCTATCCATGCTACCTCATATTGGCCCAGAACATTAAGGATTAATATTCTCACTTTTGTGTGTAAAATCCCCTGAGATGTCCTTCCTGGGCAATGAATTCAATACTTTTTCTTCCTTAATGTCAACCTAACTAGTAGCTTCCTCTCTTTTGTGCCCTGAATAGCTCTAAGTGGCCTTTCTGCTTATGTATATTTGAGCACGTGCCTGGTTGTAGGATACAATCCCTGAATTGGACAAACTATTTCTGTTGTGATTTTGTTTGTGTGTGTGACCCTCTGAGGCTAGCTGCGCTCCTGATTTTTAGTGCGATGACATGAAACAGCTGACTGCCAGTCCAGCTCCTCTTCTAAATGCCTATGTAGTCTGAAGCAGGTTAGCCACTCTGAACTTCAATTTCCTACCCTTTAAAACAAGGAAATTACACTAGAAAAATCTCAGAACCCTGCCAACCTCCTAAACCCTATGGTTCTGCGACTATTATTAGTCATTCCAAAGCTGGAAGTATGTTCAGTTCAGAAATGTGTTTTACATTGATTTATTTCTTTTTTTAAGCTATTGTAATATGTTAAATAGTTATATGTTAATATAGAGTAGAGTTAACTCTTTGATAATGATAGTACCCTGTAGCTCTTACTTTGTGCCAAGGTTCTACTCTAAGTGTTTTATGCTGAATCCTTACAAGTCTGAGACCGGTACTATTGTTAGCTCCCTGTTCCACAGACAAGAGAACTGAGTCATAGATAGTAACTTTTATTTTGAAATCTTTATTTGTCACTATTCTGGGAATTCCCTTCACCTCTCTCCTCTGCTAGACCCCTTGTTTCCTGTATTTCATTTCTTCCTCTTTCTGTATTTACTTCCTTGCCTTTGTTGTTGAGAAAGGAAGAATAGAAATAAAATGTTTGAGGTCTTCATGTCTGAAAATGTTTTTATTCTGCCTTCACCTTTAATTGGTAGTTTGGTTGGATATAGAAATTATAGATTGGCAATAATTTTCCTTCTGAATTTTGAAAGTATTACTTCATTGCTTTCTAGTTTTTTGTGTTGTGAAGTCCTATATGCTTCTGATTCCTGATATTTCAAATATAGCCAGAGTTTTTGTTTTTCTTTTTCTGAAAACTTGTCAAATCTCTGCTCCCAATGTTTTGCAGTTTCCAACAATGTGTCTTGATGTGAGCCTGTTTCATCCACTGAGTTAGGAAATTGCCACATTCTTTTCTTTTTTCCTTAAATATATACTAGAGGCCTGGTGCACAAAAATTTGTGTACTGGAGTCGGGGGGGGGGTGTCCCTCAGCCCAGCCTGTGCCCTCTCGCAGTCTGGGACCCCTCAGGTGATGTCCACCTGCCAGCTTAGGCCCACTCCCTGCAGCCCTAAGCTGGCAGTTGGACATCCCCCGAGGGGTGCTTAGCGCTGCCACGGAGGCAGGAGAGACTCCCACCACCGCCTGCCGTTGCGCTCGCCAGCTGTGCGCT